ATGAAACAGTGGGGTTGAGTACTCCAAATGAACTCTTAAAAAAAGAAAACAACAACAAACTAATCTTGGCATCCTATCACTATGTGATATTTTGTACATCTTACTGTATTTACAAGTTTATTTATCAAGGATTATCCATCTTGCTAATAGCCTATTATTTATTTCACTTTTTGTTGGTCTTTATATCCTTTTATTAATGTGCTAAAGGAACCTATATATCTATTTTGGAACTCTTTGAATAGTCTAAAATAGACTAAAAATGGAGTATTTTATAGTTTAAGTTACAAGTCAAGGTGATTCCCCTCAGATATGTATCTTGGTTTACCATGATTCCAAACAAAACTATCTTGTTTAAAATTATTTGGAGTTAAAATTTTATTTGCATTACAAATAGGATACAAAAATAGTTGAATCAGGATCAGAAATCTGCTGTGTTTGGACTAGTTACCCTGTTTTATTTTTTCAATGTGCTTAATTTTATGGTGTAACTAAACATTTTGTTTGTGTAATGCATGATTAAGACAATAAAGTATTTTTTCTAGTCTTCCAAAAAACTTTTCTGATCAGTTTGCGAGTTTTGATGAGTTTTGTAAGGTTTTTGTTTTACAAACTATGAATCAGCAAATTTTTAAGATTGTACCACATAGCGAACGTACAGCTGTTGAAAAATGTATATAAAATGCGTATAATAAATATTAAATTGTGTACCTGTATGTTACTGTTGACTACATTATTTTGTGTTGAATAATAAAGTGCAATACTTTACTCTCCATCATTAAACTAGGAAACGGAGATGATTTCAGTGAGTTCTTCGTTTTTATGCTGTTCTTTTCAATTTTGTACTGTTTATTGGTATTCTAATAAGATTAGAACAGTTAGCCCTATATTAAGAATGCCTTTCTAAGTATTTCACACTGTTTTGGGGATTAAAGAAATCTTCTATTGAAACAAGTTAGATAAATCAAAATAACGGAAAATTGCAGAGATACAGTCTTAAATCATTTCCTTGTATCCTACGACTTAATTAAATCTGAATTTCAGTTAATAGTGCTGTCTCCTAACTAGCCATGCTTGTTTCCATGAAAAAGTTCAGTAGAAAATAAACTACATTATTCTTTAATTAAAAGTTATCCTGATAAATGATGTTAAATATTAGTATCTTTAAACTTTTTCCTTCAACAAGGTATTATCATCCCTTTTCTTTGAAGGGAATTGCAAATGGAATTAGAAGGTAACATTAGAAGACTTATGTGGCAGAATTCTGTTTGAATGCCTACTGCAAAAAAAAAATTACATTGTATGTACATTGAGAAATTTTGTCACCTACCATAAAAATCCAAGTGGCAATTTTAGTCATTGCTGGTGAGACACTAACAAAACTATTCATAAATTTTCTTAAGATAGTTCTTTAGTTTTCTGAATTGAAGATTCAACTTAACAAATTAAAGAGGTACTTTTCTCTTCCTCTCTTTTTTTTTTTTTAATAATTTAAGAGCAAGCTTTCCAAAGTTAGTACTGTTTCTGACAGCTATTCTAAACCAGTGCATTACTGTTTCACTGAAATGTGATTATCATCATTGTAATGCATAAGCATTCACCTTTTTTGGAATGTATTAAAACTGAAATGAATAAAAATAGTATATATATGTTTATTTTTCTCTTACCTACTTTGGTTGTATTTTTCTCTACAATATTAAAATTTGGAAGAGACTAAAAGGTATCTTATTTTCATTCTATTTGTGTGCTTCCATTTGTGATATATGGGAAATTATGTAGATTAATTTCACTATTAAATGGTGCTTTGTATGTAAAGTTTAAGAATATTGTATGTATATAAAACATGTATAAATACAAACATGTATACACACACACACAAATTACCTTTTCATTCCCAACCAGAAGTCATGCTCCCAAGGGTCTTGAGGTAATATAAATTTGAACAGAAACTATTTGGACTACAGAATTTAATCTGTACTTTTGTAGAACTCTGAGATTGAGTTGTTCACATAGACATCATAAAGTCCAAAAATATATAAATTCTTGAGAATCCTTCCCCCAATTTCATCTTCTCTCAATGAAACAGTATAGTTTCTTATAATCTGATAATGAAAGATCAGAGGAGAAATAGAAGAAACAAATAGCCTTTATCTTGAGCCATATTACCCTATTCTTTAATGTTATAAGCAAACCATAGTCAACCAAAATTCAAAATTTTGCAATTCCGAAATTACAAACAAAAAAGACTTCTGTGCTTTTCAGACCTACTAAGTATCTTACTAGGATGGTCTAACAGTTTTAAGAATCAGGGGTTTAGTTCTAGATACACATTAGAATTAACCACTGGACTTGAGAAAAACTGATATCCAGGTTATATCCCCAAAGAGTCACCCAGAATCAGTGGGGCTTTCTGGGTTCTCTATATAAATTTCTTATTGAAGTGTGGTTGATTTATGTTACGCTTTTTCAGGTGTACAACAAAGTGAATCAGTTTACATACATACATATATATCCTTTTTCAGATTGTTTTCCACTATAGGTTATTACAATGTACTGAATATAGTTCTCTGTGCTGTGCAGTAGAGTAGATCCTTGTTTATCTGTTTTATATGTAGTGATGTGTATCTGTTAATCCAAACTCCTAATTTATCCCTCCCCACTTCCCCATTTAGTAACCATAAGATTGTTTTCTAAGTATGTGAGTCTGTTTCTGTTTTGTACATAAATTCATTTGTATCATTTTTTTAGATTCTACAAATAAGTGATGTATTTGTCTTTCTCTGTGACTTCACTTAGTGTGATAATCTCTAGGTCCATCTCTGTTGCTACAAATGGTATTATTTCATTCTTCTTTATGACTTTTATTTATATATATATTATATATACACCAATATATGACATCTTTATCCATTCATCTGTTGATGGACACAAGTTGCTTCCATGTGTTGGCTATTGCAAATAGTGCTGCTATGAACATTTGGGTGCATGTATCTTTTTGAATTAGAGTTTCTGTCTTTTCCAGATAGATGCCCAGGAGTGGGATTTCTGGATCATATGGTAACTATTTGTAGTTTTTTAAGGAATCACCATACCATTCTTCGTAGTGACTGCATCAATTTACATTTCCACCAACAGTGTAGGAGGGTTCCCTTTTTTTCGCACCCTCTCCAACATTTATTATTTGTAGACTTTTTGATGATGGCCATTCTGACCCGTGTGAGGTGATTACTCACTGTAGTTTTGATTGGCATTTCTCTAATTAGCAATGTTGAGCATATTTTCACATGCCTGTTGGCCATCTCTAAGTCTTTGGAGAAATATCTGTTTAGATCTCTTGTCCATTTTTTGATTTTTTTTAAATTATTGAGTTGTATAAGCTGCTTGTATGTTTTGGAAATTAAGCTCTTGTTGGTCCCATCGTTTGCAGGTATTTTCTACCGGTCAGTAGGTTTTCTTTTTTTGTTGTTTATGGTTTTCTTAGCTGTGCAAAAGCTTGTAAGTTTGATTAGGTACCATTTGTTTGTTCTTGCTTTTATTTTATTTCTATTGTCTAGGGAAACTGGCCTAAGAAAACATTGCTGTGATTTATATCAGAATGTTTTGCTTATGTTCTAGGACTTTTATGGTGTCATCTCTTTTATTTTTAAGTCTTTAAGCCATTATTGAGTTTATTTTGGTGTATGCTGTGAGGGAGTGTTCTAACTTCATTGATTTAGATGTGGCTGTCCAGCTTTCCCAACACTACTTGACGAAGAAACTATAAGAATGTTTTTATATATAAACTTTAATTAATGTTGACTTTCTCAATATTTAATCACATTCTACCTTTTTCATACTTGTTTTCATGTACTCATATTTCAAAGTAAGTTATCCACTGAGGACTAAACATACCATTTAGTGCATTAAAGGTTATAAATGGGCTTAGCATAATTGAAATTGAGGTATGCTTGCAGAAGTTGGATTATCTTTTAAACCCCTTTTACTCTTTTTTCAAAAGTTGTTAACCCTATATATTGATTATATTTTCTTCTAAAAATAATTAGTAGTAACAATACATAAAGTATTTAATTCTGCTCTCTTGCTCCAAGTCCAAATATTAGCTTCCCTGGTTACCTCAAGGCTTTGTCCTTTATAAAATGTTTAAAAGTATTTTTAAGAGGAGGGTATGTGTGCAGCATGCATGAGGTCCTGGGTTTGATCCTCAGTACCTGCAGTAAATGAATGAATGAATAAGTAAATAAATAAACCTAATAACCCCACAGAAACTTTTTTAGAGAATTTTTAAAATTTAAAAATTTTTGTAGTTAAATGAAAATTCTTGTTAAATGAATCAGTCATATTTGCAGCTTTTGAAAAAGGCGGAGGATGGTCAGGGGAGTCATTGACTTCCCATATTGTGTTTTGTCAAATTTTTATATAATGTCAAGGGCAATTTCAGTTTTCCCTCTGTGATACATACTTCTTTCATTCCTTTTACAAAAGCAATAAAATTGTTTAACTCAAAAAATTCATTGGGATATATAATACTGCAACCAGTTAACACCTTTTTCAGGTCAATCAGTTGTAAGCCATTTGAGATGGGATCAGCGTATGTGTGAAGGGAGATAGTGTGCAGGTGGATGAGGGTAAGGATAGTTGCTGTCTGTAGAGAAGATAGGATGAGATGGCAGTGCACCTCTGTTGGAGGGGAGAGTTCTTGGTGAGGTAATGATAGTTACGGTAAGGGGGTTTTGATCACTTTTCTTGGGAACCAACTTTGCAAGCACATTTAAGTAAAAATAATGTTAATCACAAGACAATTTTTGTTGAACCAAGTAACCAAAAGCATCTGCGTATTTTCTGTGCATAGTGCTTAATGCCTAGGCATTCACTGAGTAATAGAAAAATAAATATGCTTCGTCTTACTGCATGATTTTAAGAAAAAACTCCACACAAAGTAGCTAATGTAGAATTTTTATCATGTCCTAGGGAGAGACACTTGAAATAATAAGAACTAAGGCACCTTAGAATAATAGTCACTAGCAGTTTTATTGCTTAGTCAAAGTACAGTTTTTCTTCCTGCAGTTCTGCTATTTGAAAGATGTGCTTTTCATTAAAGCTAAATGTTTAAAGTACAAGTGGTAAGTAAAAATTTACCAACTTAAGATTTTTTCAATATGTGGATGACTTTTAGAGTATAATCCAAGTATATCAATACACATATAAAAGGATATAAATAGAAAAATACCAGGCAGTCTTGCTATGTTGTTCAGTGTGATATTTGTTATAAGTTATTATGAAAATACACTACAAGAGGCTTGATACCTATTTCATCTGTAATAACTTTTTAGCCTATTAAATAACATCTATATTGTTGATTGGTTTTAAGACAATATCTACTTGGGTCAAAATATTTACATTTGAACTAAGTTAAAGAACTGTTTTCTGTTTGTTTCACTTTCCTTATATGTTTAACACAGAATTAGAGAAGGAATGTTGCTTTTGGTCTAAATAACAGATTCTTTAATTGAGCTATAGAATTTACATATCTGTACATTTAATATGCATGTTAGAATAGAACTCTTAACATTTTAACCTACAATATCTCCTCTTTCCTGAGTTTCTAAGAGTCATGATTTTGAAGCCTCAGCAGAGTGTTTTGAATAAGTCTAACTTGTACTTAGAAAGATAAGAGCTTTAAACGAATGCTTATTTGTTTACATTTGTTGGCATCTTTAATAGTTTTGTATGTGATCTTAATATGCTATATAGTATTTCAGTATTACTAGGATACAACTTATATATTATATCCTTGCACTTTTTTTTCAGTGTCAAAATGTCACCATTATTGCTGGGATTCTAAGAAATCTCTACAGATGCCTCTGATGACATCGGAAACAATTGGTTCTAATCCTGTGAACTCTCTTGTGAAGAAAGCATGTGACTCCTTTGGTTTAGAGGCCATATCTTTTAGGTCATCCAGAGGTGCCCAAGCCACGCCGACAGAGAAGATGGTGATACCTGCAATGCAAGTATTTTTAAGTGAATTAAAACTAAGTTCCAGCTTATGTATAAAATGACATGTGTATGTTTTTAATACATCAGTGCATAGTTTCAGACAAAACTGCCTTGTAATGCCTGAAGTACTAAATCCCCTGTAACAAATTGTTAGGTAGGTTTTAACATTCACTGTGATGAAAATGGCTAAATAGTTTGGTCAAAACAAAACCAGAGTTTTGCCATCAGTGTAATTTACCACATTAACAGATAAATCATATGATTCCTGAAAGAAAAAGTATTTGAGAAAGTTCAACTTCCATTCATGATAGAACACAGTAAGCTAGAAACAGAAGGAAACGTTCTTACCCTGATGATAATACCTAAAAGCAAACAAATGAATAAGCCCTTAGCAACCATACTTAGTAAAATGGTGAAAACTTCCCCTCTGAGTTTGGCATGAGAAACGAATGCCTGCTATCATCACTTCAATTAACCGTTATACTGCAGTCATAGCCAGTATAATAGAGCAAGAAAGAATGACACAAAAGATGGGAACATAAATGGTGAAAGTTTTCTAAGGCTGTTGCATTGTCTGGGGAATGGTGACTAGTCCTCTGTGAATGATAAATGTTTCTTCTATTTCAATCTTTATGTTACATTGGCAAACTGACCAATAGAAATGGTTAGTCTTTAATCCCCAAGCAAAAGTCTTGTGGTGATTAAAAAAAAAAAGACAAATGTCTGAAGCTGGATAATTTGGGGGGGGGGCTGGTAATTAGGTTTGTTTGTTTATTTTTAGTGGAGGTACTGGGGATTGAACCCAGGACCTTGTGCATGCTAAGCACACACTCCTACCACTGAGCTATACCCTCCCCCCTGGGATAATTTTTTATTATTGGATAGATAAGCATCCATCTGCATTCCCTGACCCACTAGAAGGCTTTTACTCCAGCTGTACATTTTGATTAGGGTGATATTACATTTATTTCATCACCTCAATCCCAATTGTAGACGCAGTGGTTTAGCAGATTCTGAGTGTAGATGAAATCCCCCATAAAGTTTTTAGAGTTTCTGAAATAGCTACCTCCCTCCTATCCAAAGCTTCATCCTCCTCCTCATGGTAGACAGTACTTAGTGGTGAATACTTAAGATATAAATAAAGCAGGTTTAGATGATGTAAAAGCTAATTGAAACAATATCTGATCTATCACCACTTGCCAGTCCTTTCCTCTCCATGGCAAAGTTGTCAAACGAATTTCTCCACCTCAGTTTTTTCCACTTTTAATTCTGCATTCAAGCTCAGACTGTCTAGCTCAGGCCCAGTATGTAATTACAGTTAACAAACAAATCAGCTGTGACCTAGCCCTGAAAGCCTAGCCTATTTTTTGGCTTTTGCTAACTTTCACTTCACTATCACTGAAGGATAATTTTCATGAAAATAGTGTGGCCCAGCCTCCTGAAATTCAATTAATCATATAGGGAAAATATATTTGAATTTATTTAGTTCACTTTATTTAGCCTGAATCCAATCCTGTTAAGCATAAAGTCAGTAAGATACACTTCAAAGGAGTATAATAGCAAACAGGTCTATCAACATAAGTTAGTTGCTGAGGTATACATTAAGTCAAATGTATAAAAATAAACCAGTGTATAGCTTAAACTGCATGTATCCGTTCTCTGACCTACTTAATAAAAACAGTGTCCCATCAATATCTATAAAAGTCCATAAATGCATTGGCATAGGTGGTAATGAGTGTATAAAAGGAAAAGTTAATTCATTAGAAATTAAGTAGGGAAAAGGGAGTACAGAAGAGTATAGAAAAATACAAGGTTGTTCATCCCCTACTCCCAAGTTAGCATTTTTGTTTTTTCAAATATTGGACTCCCAACCACTCAGTTTTATCCCAGGGAGGGGAACCTCAGCTCTTTCCGGCCTATATGATCTTAGCAACACACATGCTAATGTCTTCAAAAACTAGAGGCCTTTGCCAAAATAAACATTAAAGTTAGGTTAGACAGAGGAAAATTTTTATACCCTTTTATTGGTGTTTCATTATCTTAAGGGGGAAAAAGACACTAAAAAGGAAATTTAGATGGAATAGAATTAATGTATTTATTGGTGATCTTAGAAAACTCATGCCAGACTGAAAACTACTGAAAGAAAAAAGTTAGGATAAATTATCAAGTAGCAGAGTCATAGTAAATTATAATAATCTGTAACTTCGGAGGTATAAACTCCAAGTTTGAGCCAAACATGAACACCTGTATCATATTTCCTTGACACATGACATGGTTCTCGTGACAGTTCTCCCAAAAATACAGTTACTAGGAGTATGGATTCAGCCAAACTGCATGGGTTTGAATACTGGCCTCACGAGGTTACTCGCTGTGTGATTTGGGGGAAGGTGGTTTCCTTATCTGTAGGATGAGATTAGTAGGGCTGCTTTGACAGTTAAATCAGTGAATATTGGGTAAAGCTCTTAAAACAGTAACTGCCACACTATACGTGTTTGTTCAATAAAATAAATACGTAAGTTTATATTTACTCCTAAAATTCACTGACCCCTCTTCAGTTCCCTTTCCAGACAAAAAACAAGGACCTTACCTGCATCGTGTGCAGCAGCGGCAGGGCCTCGGACATCATCGTAGGACTGCCCGTCTGTGACAATTACTAGGAAGTTCTTGTTGGGGCTGTCCCTCACGGGGCCAAACACATTTCTAACAGTAAAGGAAATGGCATCACCAGTAGCTGTCCCGCCACTCATGTAGCGGATGTTTCTGATAGCCGCTAGGACATTCTCCTTGGTGGTATAGTCAGCGAAACCGAACTCCATGTGCTGATCGTAGGTGAACTGCACGGCAGCTATCTTGGCACCAATGTCTGAGATTTCAAAAGTCTTAGCTATGTTGGAAACAAATTCAAGCATGAGGCGGAAATTGCTGTCCCCAACACTACTGGAGCCATCAATTAGAAAGGCGATGTTCACTGAGTTGTAACAGGTCTTGCTGCACATCATTTGCTCGTGAGAGCAGAGCTTCTGTACCAGAGGCTTCACATACTTTGTGGTGCCAAACCAGTTGGGCATGTGGTAAGAGAAGAAGCCGTTACTCCGACAGACAGCCTAATGGAGGCAACACAAAGAAGATATCCAAAGAATCAAAAGTTTCTTTAAAATTGTGAAAACATTAAATCTTGAATATTCAAAGTTAATCCAGAGAGAGCCCAGTTAGCACTATGCCTTGAGGTCCAAAACTGAATCACTACCAAAAGACGACACCTCTTACCTTCTTACCTTGTCAATAAACGCAACATCCTGAACCATCCCCAGTTCCTCAGGGATAGGCTTAGCCACAGAGACTATAAATACATTGACACCAAACTCTCTGGCCACAATGCCTGCTTCCTCGATGTCATCAGAAGGCCAGCCATCAATAAATACCACCACCACTTTGGGAATCCCTTTCCTCACTCCAGCATCAGTTGTGAAGAATTTCTGGGCAGTATGCTTCAGGGCTTTTCCTAGGTTTGAAAAAGAAGCAAACTACAACAGCACTACTGCTCAAAAGACATTTTTATTTCCCTGTACCAACTTGATGCATCCAAGTCTAAGAATTTAACTTATTTAGAACAAAGTTCTTTAACAGATGCATCAGATGGGAAAGTGTAATTATCCATCAGGCCTATTTTTTGCCTTTCAACCCACATTACTTCCCCCATCACCTCCCAGAAACATTTCCTTTCATCAATCACCAGTCAGAAACATGAAACTGACTCCCACATCTGTACCTGTGCTATCCAGCCCCTTAGTGACTGCTTAGTACCTCTAAGGACTCAGAACAAGAAATCTCCCTTCAGAAGTTCCAGAGACCTACTCTAGTTCTTTCTGCCACATCTGCCATCATTAGTGGAGTCTGTTGATCTTTGCCTCTTTTAAACATTCTAAATAGGTACTTCTCTAAAGTGGCATCTGCCCTGTCCAATATGAGGATTTTAAGTCACAATGTTTTATTTTTTTTAAGATAAGCAATATCAATAAACCCTTTGGTACATTTTCTATTGTCAATCAAATATCTCAGATAATCAAATACAGACCTAACCAAGATCAGTGCCAGGAGGAAGAGTTTCACATCTGCTTGTATAAACTAGCATAATACTATCTTACATGTCTGATCGTTCATAACCCGCTCTGTGTCACATCCCAGGTGCCAAAGTCTACTTACCTGTATTGGAATTACCCCCTCTGAAACCTACTTCCTTTATGGCGAACAAAACATCTTTGGCTGATGTAAAGTTTTTCAAGTAAAATTCTATTTTGGGATGTTCACTAAAGTAAAAAAAAGAAAAAATGTTATCCAGAGAGAATTGCAAAGGCAAAACAAACAAGCAACATTACATACCTCAAAAAAAAAAGTCTTTAAATTGAACAATGCCTAAGCTGCTTTCTTAATCCTACAGCATACAGCCAATTAAGGTATAGCATCCTTACTTGAATTTTTAGGGATCTTTCAGAAATGTAACAAAAATAACTGCTACCTTGGGGGTTTATTATATTATGGGTAATATGCTAAATACATACTACATGTATAATCCCATTTCATCGTAACTCTACAGGTAGAAATTATTAGCCCTATTATATAAATGAAGAAACTGAGGCTTAGAACACTTAGGTAATTTGCCTGACAAAACCACATTTTAAATTCTGGTTTGTCTGGCTCTTAAACTATATAGAGCACTTGAAACCAGGCTTGGCTCAAGGCACTAGGCTTAATGGAAATCTGCAGTTGGGCACCAGATAGTTCAGTTGGAAGGCAGCTGGGTGTGAGGCCAGGTCTGCTCCAGTGGGGTACCTTGGAAGCCCTGAATAGTCTGTCTATTAACCCAGGTCCCTGGGCAGAAGAGGCAATTTCAGTGACACTAAGGCCAACATTTTTTTTAAATGAGAAAACTTATAAGGAAACAAATTATAAAGTATTACAACATTGAAATTTTCTTGCAGTAAATGATTTTGACATTTGCCAACCTTACAATTATGTGTAAGAGATTTGGGACTTTCCATATTTAATAGTAAAAGAATTTCAACTACTCTGTGTTCATTAGAGACCACGTGGAGTAAAACAGTTAAAGTACAATTTGTTGTGTTTAGTTTTTAGATAAGTGAAAATTTCATAAGTGGAAAATTTTAAGATCCTAGCATTATCAATTGCCATTAAGTCAGGATTTGTGAGGGACAAGTATAGCACTGATTATATTTCTGCATACCTGGTGTAATATTGGGTCACAAAATCAGATTTCATGGGTTGATAACCTTTTCACTTTTATGGTCACTCTTCAACTATCCAAATTACGATTTATGACATTTAATCTTATTTTTGCATCCTTAATGAGATATTCTCCTATTCTACTTAAACTCTTGGTTATAGTTTATCTATTCTAATGTTCCTCCTAAAACAGAAAAACTGTAAGCCAGGAAGTTTATAGAGAAGCTAGTCTTTGTTTGAATCTACAAGGTAGTGTGTAGCTTTCATCTTGAAAAAGAATTGGATAAAAATAGCAAACAAAAAATATTAGAAGAAAAATATTGAAGGGAATTTGCCCTATGAGATGTTAAAATGTTAAAGAAAGCTACAATAAGCAAAGTATTATAGAAAAGATGTAAGAATTAGTATATGGATCAAAGAAACAGATTTGTCTAAACTTATAAATCACAAATCAATGGAGTAAGAAGCTTTTTTTTTTTTAAGGTGTGGGACAGATGGTTAAATTATGTATGAAACAACAAAGTTAAAAATTCTCACACTCCAAAAATTTCTATCTAAATTAAGAACCAATTGTAAAAAATAACAAGTGAAATGTAGATTAATATTTGTAATACTACTGGTGACGCTCATACACTGCTGATAGCAGTTTAAACTGGATCAGATTTCTGGAAAGCAATTTAGCTGTTTAGATCAGAAGTCTTAAAAATGTCAGAACCCTTTGACACTGATAGGAATCTAGCCCAATAGACTAATCAGAGGTGGCATAAGGATGTTCATCACAGTGTAATGGTGAAAAAATAAAATGGTTAAATAAATCATGCTAAGGAACATTATCAAACATCATTTTTGAAACACCATTTTCTGAAGAATATTTGTGGTATGGTGAAATGCTCAAAATACTAAGGGATTAAAAACCCAGGATATAAGACATTTTTATAGTCTGAGCTTTTGAAAAAGAAACACATATATAGTCAAATATTTTCTTAATACTGAAAGGAAATAAAATATTTTACAGCAATCATCTCTGAGGGGTTTATTTGGGAAATTTGTTTTCTTTGTGTTTTATATGTTTTCCAATCTTTCTATTAGGTGCATATTATAATCTTAAAAGACATCAATACATATTATTAAATGAATAAAAGGTTAAGCTTCAGATCTCCAGTTATGGACTATGGAAAGAGCTAAAAAGAATAACTACAGAATAGGGGGTAGGAATAACCATCACTGCTTCCTCTTGCAGCAAAGAGGAATTAGGAATTGAACAGAGTAGATGTGCAGAGGTAATCTGTATGAGCAACAAGGCTTTTAGCCTACCTTCTGGTTCTCAAATAGATAGCATGTAATTCTCTAAATCCTTTCATTCCAAAAAGGAAACACTTCCACTACCCAGTCTGCTCAGGCAGTCTTAAATTCTGACTTTCCAGTTTGGAAATCCAGATTGTTCACAACTCAATATGTTTATATTTAAGTGAAATGAATGTACCTCCTAAAAGAAGTGATCATTTGTCATCATTTGAAATATCATTCAAGTCTCCTCCCATTTTAACAAGATTGGTACCTGGCTTGAACAAGGCCCACGTGCGGCCCTTCTGTTCCAATTCCCAACATTAGAGCCACTTTCCCAACAAAATTCTTCTGTAGATTAAATCGGCGTTGCCCAATATTAAAACTTCCATCGATCAGAAATGCAATGTCTGCTTTACAGTCTGTGAACATCCAAATAAGTTCTCCCATTAGCAGTTTCAGGAGGAGGGAGGGAAGGACTATATTCAATATCTTATAATGAACCATAGTGGAAAAGAATATGAAAAAGAATATATATATATGTGTGTGTGTGTATAGCTGAGTCACTTTGCTGTACACCAGAAGCTAATACAATATTATAAATCAACTATACATCAATTTTAAAAAAATTAAATAAAAATAAAGAGGAGACAAGGGGAGAAAGAAAATGTTATATTCCCAAATGGATGTCCAGACTCTCACCCTTATTGCCAGTTTTCTTCTCTGGTGTTTTCTTTAGTCGTTTACCTGAAACAAAAGAAGCACTTGGCATTAGCAAAAGCAAGACAGTTTCATACAAGAAATTCACATGGGGAAAAGCTCATGAGTGTCATTCTTGAAAAGACTTTAAAAAAATTAGTTTCCTCATGATTTTCTGGACTGACGAAGCAATGCCCCAACAAAGAAACAAGTCAGGACTGTAGTAGGCCTACATATTTAATACACCTTCAATCCAGGACTTTCATATCCCAAACCCACAGTTGAAGAAGGATTGGAAACTCAGAGTTAGATTCTAATGTTCTCAATTTCCTTAACTTTAAAATTGTCATAGTCTTAAAAAGGAAGATCCCTGGCTATTTCTAATACAGACATGCATTAATTCCTTTTATTTATATGACAAATGGAAGTAGGAGGTTCCAGGTAATTTTACTTAGACCAGGTTCTAAACATGATTTATCGAATCAAGGGGAAATGGCAGGACTTCAAGAGAATGTTTGGTAGCAGAGCTTATCTTTGAAAATAGAATAAGGAATCTGAAATATGAAGTTGAATGTTTCCCTATGTAATATACCAGTAAACTTAAGACAGTTGCTTTGTGTTTAACATCAATATTTTTAAAAAGGAAAGCTTCTGTCAATAACACATTTATTTGTAACTTCCTAAATCTGTGTCAAGCAGCTAGGAGATAGGTTCCATATTTCATACCTGTTGCTGGACGTGCTGTGGATGCTGCTTGTCCTGTAGCTTCCTGGGAACCACTTTTGCCTTCTGTTACAATAAAGAGAAGACTATTTTTTCCTCTCCTGTTTTTACCATCAAAGCATAATGAATCTAATTTAGGGTTCTATAGGATGATAAATGTAATAGAGTGATGGCAATTAGATGAGTTTTGCTGCATGCTAGTTTTAAAACCTTTATTTTTTTTAATGGAGGTACTGGGGATTGAACCCAGAACTTTGCACATGCTAAGCACGTGCTCTGCCACTGAGCTATACCCTCCCTGCTACTGCATGCTAGTTTTGAAGGACCAAAATGGATTCTTATCTATCGTATTTTTAAAAGATCACCCAAAAGTGAATTCACTCTCATTCACTTGTTTTTTGATTTAGGGTACTTGGTAAATGTCAGGGCATTCTAGTTGCAGGCAATTCAAGTTTCTAGTGCCATCTTCTTACAGCAAGATTATTCCTCCCCCTATTCAACCAAGTTTGGCTTCAGTGTGTCCTTGATTCTTGGGATCCCCTGACTCTAACCCATAGTTGACCCTTTCAGTCTTGATCACAGGTTTTTCCATCAGAGTCAAACAGATTGCACTGAGAAAAGGAGAAAACTTTTTTGAGGTTGGGGAGACAATATTTACACAAAAGTAAGAACAATTTAATTGTACCTACTTGTCACTGTGAAAGAAGTGGACCATCTGGAAAGCGTCTGAGACTGGATGCCATTGGCAACTACTGAGGAATAGTTTTCTCGACCTGGTAGGCTATAGATACGCACAGGTCCCCCCGACTTGCCGATTACCCCCCTGCAATGCAAGAATAATAGCTAAGATCCTATCAACACCTTTTCAGTGGCATTTGACTTGACTTATACTGCCATGTTGCATCTATTACTCTGATTAATCAAGAAAATAGTTCAGCAGGGAAGAATAGTTCACCACCTAAGGATGCTGCCAAACTTTTAAGAAACTTGCTCACACAGGTATAAAATCTACCTAGGGATACGGTTTTGTGCTGTCAAACTTCTTAAGTGTTAATAAGGACACACTTGCAGTGTTTTGTTCCCTGTAGCTCAGATAATCAGAATTAAGAGTGCCAAACAATTTTCTTAGTTTTCTAAAATACCTTAAATACATGTCCTTAGACTTGATTAAAAAAAAAAGTGTCATATTGGCCATTCTCTTGCATGATAGCAGAGTGGTGATGAGTATGGGCCCTGGAGGCAGACCTGGGTTTTCAGTCCCAGCTCTGGCTCTTGCTAACCATGGTGGCCTTGGGTAAGATACTTGACAACTCTCTGAATTCAGTTTCCTCATCTGTAAAATGGGGTAAAATTGTACCTACCTTGTACAGCTGTGGAGTTGTGGAAGTTAAAATAATGGCTGTCATATAGTAAAAACTCAGAAATATATTACAAGATTAGGAATGCTTTAGAATCACAGGAATCTAGCTACCAAGAAATAATGCAATTTGCTTTCAGTCAGAAGGCTTCCCTTTTGTAGTTGGTGTTTCAAGGATATCCGGGAAAATCTTTAAAATGTGTCCATCTTTTTACAGCCAAAATTGGCACCGAAAGAAAGAAAAAGGGCAGGGTGGGAGGTGTCCTGGTGGCTAAAGAGGGAAAAGAAACAATCACACTTGCATTTCCCTCCTCTTGGCAGGTCTGGGCTTACCTGTGGATAGCAGCACCACAAATGCTTGATACAGAAGCATAGACTATGTTCCCAAACACGGAGAATTCCTCCAGAGAGCAGCCCCCTGGGCAGAGGACATCTGCTTTCTCTTTCCTAATGTCCAGGCCTCTGGTAAAGCATGTGATAGCAATGGGAACTGAAGAGAAAGGACAGAATGTAATAACCATCCTTAGGACTTTTAGGGGAGTGCTGGTGGGGGAACTAAGATATGAGATTGAAATTTTACTTCCCTAATTTCTACACTTCTTGTTAAGAATATTGACTTAGGTACCATTTCACACCATTCCAGATTTTAGCAAGCAAAAATCAGTTTTCCAATTTAGTCCTCAGACACTATAGAGTCTAAAGGGAGAATTTTCTTAGTTCTTATCAATTTAAAAATATATAACTGGAAATATATCAGAACTCAAAAATAACCTTAGTCATTGATCACTTACCAATTCATTCTAGAAATATTTTTAAAAATCTCAACTCTGATTACAACTGTGTACATAGTTGACTGAGGTGAAGATATTAAATCTGGGTTGAACCTCTGAGGAACATTTTCAAAGACACATGCACAATCTAAGTCATCCTTTCCTTCTGAGAACCATTATATCAGTTTTCTTTCAAATGTAGTGCCTTAAAATTATATGTTAATTTAAGCAAACCAGTAAAGATGCTTCACTTTACAGAAGGTTATTTAGCTCAATCACTCATTTTACAGATGAAGTAATTAAAGCCATGGGGTTAATTTGCCCAAGGTCACACAGTCCAAGGAAAATTCTACAGCTCCTGCAGGACAGGAAACAGAAAAGTTAGTCCTTTCGGAATGGAGCATTTTAATCTGAACTGAATTTCTTACTTTTGCTCCAGATCTGTCCAGAGAGATATACCAGGCAGAGAATGCGTTTTTAGACAGCACTATTAATACTCTCAAGTTTTACATGATCAACCTGTCTAATCATCAGTATTTTACTACAAAAGACGTTAGAGACAAGTCCTTGGCAACATGTAACAATATAACTTAGTACAACATATTAATTTATCAATACACTGTAAATATTAAATTGAGGATAGTGTTACTAAATACCATTCTCCAAACACTGGAAATTGTGGTTATCCAAACCCTTTTGAAACAGATGTTAATAATTAAAAAAAATTTTTTCCAAGACAGAGTAATGCTGTCTGGTGGTATTGCCCAACTGAGTAGTCTGCCTCTAACAAGGACCCTCTTCTTGAGAGCCCTCTGTATTGAGCTGTAACCTGGACTGGACACGTTCATGGAAGGGAAGACACCATGCCTGGTACAAGGCTGATTCCTTAGCTCTGAAACACTCTAGATGGCTGGGCAAGTTAAAATCCTTACCCAAAACAGTAGCCTCATACCTATGAGCTTCATACTTGTTAGCAAACAGCCTTAATCCTGCCTCCCTTGTTCGGAAGCATCAGAGGCCCTGACTTTAGCTGTCAACACTGACTTTGGTGTGTGTGCCTGGTGAGTGGGTGGCGCTGAATATAGCCCGCTGCAATACTTACCTTCATTTCTCCTTTCAAGGAAAATCAAGGATAGATTTTGTAAAAAGAGTTTGGTTTTTATACTGTAGAAAACACAACGAACCACACACCCGTTAGTAGACTTCTACATGTGGAACAAACTCTTTTTAGACTCTCTCGAATATGAAATGAGCCCATAAATGCTGCTTTTTAAAATAGGGGCCGTTCCTAGAAACCGCTAGGGAGTCAAACAAGATGGGACAACGACGTAAGCCTCTCTCACCCGGAAACCTCTGTCTGTTTCTGTCTCTGTCCCGAGAGTCTGAAGGCTTCTCCCTGACCCCAAATGCCGCAGAACACCTGGGACTAGTGTGCCCTTTGGTGGGTTTCAACCAATGCCGGCTGCCTTGACCTTCTGATGCCGCTGCTGAGGGGAGGGGAGGCTCACCCAGATACGGGTGTGGATGGGAGGAGGATTCCTTTTCCGCACCTTGAGAAGAACGTGCCCTTTGGACCCCAGGGGCACCCTCGCGAGGGAGAAATGGGTAAGCGCGAGTAGATGGGCTGTAGGTATGAACGCGGCGAACCAGGCAGCACTCGAACCTTCGCGCGCTACAGCTCCGGCCGCCCGCCAAGGCCAAGGGCTCCATCTGAGCGCGTTTCTAAGGGCTGGCCCCCAGCCCCTCCCACCACCCGGACCAAGATCTGCCCTCCTACCCGGGAACCCGCCACTCACCGGCTCCTTCGCTGCCCGCGGGCTCTGTTAGCAGCAGCAGACAGACACCTGAGAAGAGAGGACAGCGCGAGGGCTGGCCCCAGCCTCCACCCCGCTTGGTGCGAGGGGAAGGGGACAGCGAGGGGCGCGTACCCACCGAGGCAGAGAACCGGGATCCAGGCGGCAGACATGGTAGCCAAGGGGATGCTCGGACCTGGGAGAGAGGGAGAATGAGGGAAGCTCCCTAGGAACGGAGACCCCTACGTCCCCACCTCACGGCGTCCGCCGGCCCCTCAGGGATCCCGCACACCCCTCAGAAACCCAGACGCTGCCGAGGGAAGGGCGGGGACCACGGGGCCGCTTTCCTGGAGCTCGCGCCCCTCTCGATCTGGAGGCCACGCTCCGGCTGCAAATCGAGCCAAACCCAGAGTCAGTTGTGCAACCCCGGGCCAGGGTAGAGGTTGCACTATGAAGACAGACAAGCTGGGAGCGGCAAAGAGGAGACACGGATAGGCAGCCGTCAGGATCCCGCACGCCCACGCCGGACGCCCGAGGCGCTGCACCTGAGTCGGATCCGCCCGGCTGCGCCCGAGTGCTGAAAGCGCCGCTCCCGCCGCGGCTATAAAGGCTGGGCGGCGCGCATGAGCACTGTGC